AGAGAGAGAGAGAGAGAGAGAGAGAGAGAGAAAAGGAAAATTGACCTTGCTCCCAAGAATAAATCAAGGGGCTGGGGAGATAGCTCAGTAGAATAAGTGCCTGCCTGGCAAGCACAGGGTCCTGAGTTCAATCCCTGGTTCCGCAAAAAAGAATAAATTAAACTATTTCCTAAAAGTAGTGCTCTATAGATAGTAGAATTCAAATAATTTTGTATCATAAAGGAATAATTAATAGGTAAATTGTGTTTTGTTTTTAGAAAATTGAATACAACAGCAATAACGCAGTATTAATATTTAGATTGTGCAGTAAAGTTTTATTGAAGTATGGGGGGAAAGAAAGTTATAAAATGTTTATCTTGGACTGTATACACAGTTTTCTAAAACCCAGAAGGGTCCTAAGTGGAGTGAGAAACCCTGGCAATGAACTTTCCTGTGAAAATGACTGACACTTGTTTCAGGAACTGGAGCGAGCCTGGCGAGAGTACGACAAGCTGGAGTACGATGTGACCGTTACCAGGAACCAGATGCAAGCGCAGCTGGATCGCCTTGGTGAAGTTCAGGTACAAGACCAGTCTGCAGGATCTTGGCTGGCCTGGCTGCTCTACAGCCGCCTCCTTTCTGTCACCGCCTTGCTGCCCCGGGGCGCGGCCAGGCCCTGAGCACACGCAGTGCTCACAGGGGGACCCATTTCTCCTTTAAAAGTTCCTTGTACCAGTGGGCACGTGTGACCCCATGGGTGCCACGTGCTTCCTAACTGTCGCAACTATTTGCCTTTCACAAGTCCACGTGTTACTTGGTAGTGAGCTATCGAGTTACTGACTTTTGTATGCTTTTTTACTTTTTATTTTTTTATTTTAAACCAGGAGTAATGGCACATGCCTATAATCCCAGCACAGGAGGCTAAGGTCGGAGGGTCACTGGGAGTTCAAGGCCATCCTGGGCTACATAGTGAGATCCTGTCTTACCAAAACAAAATAATAACATAAAAATGATTTTAGTCCATTTTGTATTAAATGTCTTGTCGAACTGTTCAGCATACTGTCTTGACTTACATGTTGCGGAGGGAGCCAGCACTATTTAAAACGAAGAATGTACTTTGCAAACAGGCAGATCTGGGGTCAAATTCTAGGGATAGTTTTCTTATCTGCAAAACAAACGATAGCTGTCTCAGAGTGTTGCACTGAGAAACAGACATATGTATATTCTAAGAAAATAACAGAAGTCACCTTGGCTCTTAGGACCCTCTGTAAGTGTGATCGTCTGCATTTGGAATCTAGCACCCCCTGCAGACCAAGGCAGCAGTAAATGCGCTGTGGGAGTGGCTTAGAAGGCATTGTCCTCTGCTGGGCCCTGCCCCTCGCCCCATGCAGCTGTTGGGCATGAGAATTATGGCTGTTGTGGGGGGAGAAAAAAAGGGTTTAATTGTATTCATTTTAATTACTTAGCCATGTGTGTCTGTGGTTTCTGTGTAGGATGTTAAAATTACGCTCCCAGTAACCATTACAAAAATTAGAGTCTAAGGCGGGGCATGGTGGCATCTGTAATCCCAGCACTTGGGAGGCTGAGGCGGGAGGATCAAGGAAAACTAAAGGCCAGCTTGGACTGCATAGTGAAACCCTTTCTTAAAAAAAATGTTTAAAAATTAGGACAGACGGGGCTACATAGTAGGCTCATGGCCATCCTAAACTATGACACCTTCTCTCAAAAACAACAAAAAATTAGATACTAAATACACCGATAAAAACTGTAGTTCTCTATCCTAAAATAGATTCGCACACTTGTTCTCCAAAAGGTCAGTTATGGCATTGCAAACATACATTACGTATCATATTACATACAATATTGTTTGATGGCGTTGGATGTTGTTGTTGAGAGACAGATCTGTGCTGTATAATCCAGGCTGTGAACACACTATGTCGCCATGGTAGCCTTGACCCGCAGCGACCCTGCAGCCTCGGCCTGGAGTGCTGGGCTTATCGGTGTTCCCCACCACTCCTGGCTCGCCGTTAGATACATGTGCAGTGGGGCCTTTTCTAATGTGTGAACTCGTCGCCCCAACCCCTTGACAGAGCGAGGCAGCAGGCCTGGAGCGCGCGCAGCTGCAGAAGGAGCTCTGGCGGATCCAGGACGTGGTGGAGGGGCTCAGCCAGCACAAGCAGCTGCGGGGCGCGACAGAAGCCGGTGAGTGCCACGGGCCTCAGGTGGTGTCCAGGTAGATGCCACACGTAGGTGGGTTTCTTTGCCTGTTTTATTGGGTTTTTGCATGAGGACACAGGCACTTCTTATAACATTAAGTTAATAAAAAGGTGTGAAAGCAGTACCTCCGCCAGCTGCACCCCTACAAACATAATCATTGTTTTACGTGTATAACTGCAACGTGTGCGGGCTGTAGCTTTCGGCATTCTTTTCTCACACCCTCGTCTGCAATTTGTTTTTCCCCGGGTGGGTGTGGAGCCCAGCTGCGCACACCGAGGCAGGTGCTTCCCCAAGCCCTCCCGCCCTTCGCAGCCTACTCCCGGGTCAGGCTTCCTTCCCCTGGCGCTGTAGAGCGTGCGCCGTGCAGCTCATCAGACCCGTACTGTTTCCCAGGGTTTGGCCGTGCTGCGGCGTGTATCATTACACATGTGCCAGGACACGCTTGCTAGGGCTCACTGGATTCCAGGGCGACGACTGATTGCATAATCTCCATTCTGCTAGTGCCAAATTGTCTTCCTAAAAGATAACATAACTGTGCCGACACTGTTTGTGTTTGCAAAAACTCAGCCATACATTTTGTTTCAACCAAATATTTCGATTTGTAGTTTTAAAATGTAATTGTTTTCAAATTCTAAAATTATTAATAATTAAGAGAAGGGGGGCCAGGAAGATAGCTCAGTAGAATAAGTGCTTTCCTGGCAAGCACAAGGTCCTGAGTTCAATCCCTAATAATGCAAAAAAATAAAAAATAAAAAGGGCTGGCCAAATAGCTCAACGTATTAAAGCAGCTGTTTAGGCAGACGTAGAGACCCAGGGTTTGATCTCCGGTGTGCTGTGCCGTGCCATGCCAGCCCCATCCCCGGTGCTCGCTTAGATTCAGTTGAGACTGGTCATGGTAGTATGCGCCTGTAATCCCAGCCCTTGGGAGGCTAAAAACAGGAAGATCGCTACAAGTCCAATCTGGAGGCCCTGTACTACATACATTAAAAAAAACAAACAAACAAAAAAAGGGATTCAAAGCTGAAGATTTCAGCTTTGAATTTAAAACAGGTGAAATAGGGGGACAACCTGCTCGGGCCCCCCTCCTGTTCCCTCTCTTGGACTAGAGCTTTCTTTCCCTCATAAATATATTCTGCTCATAAAAATAAAATAGGTGAAATGAAATTATTTCTAGGCCAGGGAGATAGCTCAGTGGCCTAAGCACCTGCTTGACAAGCACAAGGTCCTGAGTTCAATCCCTGGTACCAGAAAAAGGAAGGAGAAAAGAAAAGAAAAGGAGACGCTGAAAACAGGAGGATCACTACAAGTCCAATCTGTGTAGTGAGACCCTGTAGACCCTGTACTAAACACATTTTTAAAAAAGAAATTATTTCTGTACATTAGAAAGATATGTTTAGTTACCTTTCTAATTTTCTCCATCAGGAGTGGCAGGATCAAAACTTTTCACAACAGTTAAGTACAAAAATGAGGTAAGTTTGAATTGATTTTCGAGCTATAAACTACTTTAAATGTGCAGCACATGAATTAGGAATAGTGAAGTCGTCTGTTCTTGTATCACAAATGCTTTTTAAAATACTGAACTTTTATTAACCATGAAATTGTATTGGTTTAATTTATGTTGCTTGTAACATAGTTTTTTTTTCATTAATGTAAAAGAATATTAAAATACCACTTTTTTCATTTGTTAGAACTTTAACACTGTTATAACTTTTTCTAAGTAATTTGAATATTTGTAATGATTTCTTCGACTTTGCACAGTTTGTGGGAAGATTGATAGCTAAGTTGGTTCTGTGTTGTGCATGACATAGAGGAATTCACACTGTGAAGAGATACTGCCAGCCCAGTCGAAAGAACCTGTGGTCTTGAATTTTGTATAAAAGCCAAAGAAAATGTTTCTTTTTTCCTCTTACAAATTAATTAAAAAAAATTACAGAAGCCTAAGATGCATTTTAGAAAGACAAAAATTTGTTCTTGTCATAGTAGCTTTCAAATATAAAATTAATAATTCTGTTTCTATACATAAAAAAGTTGCAGAATGTAAAGAATGAGGCTTTAAGTAATTCTCTTTTTAAAGCAAACCACAGTAGTTTGCCGTGGTAATTTTTTGCCATATTGAATTTCAGAATAAAGCTAGCCTATATTTTATAAGAAAAACTGTATACAACCAAATTATTGGCTATCATTAAAAAATTTGGTTGCACTTTTCCATCTGAGACATTCGGCTCGGCAGTGCCCCTTTAAGTATCATGAAGTCAGTTTACAGTGATATACCATTGCAAAGAATTGTGACTGCGCTTAATTCAATCTGCTTATCTAAACAAGGTGACTGTTCTACAATCTTTAGGAAGAGGAAGTAGCCCCACCTCGTCCTCCACTTCCTCGGTCCTATGACTGTACAGAGCAGCCTCCCATAGCCCCCCCTCTGCCCAGTGACAGCAGCTCCTTGCTCTGTTATAGCAGGGGCCCCGTGCATCTGCCAGAAGACCAGAAGCCTCGCCAGGTGCAAGGGCACCCGAGAAATGGAGCTCACTGTGTAAGTGGCTGCCAGGCCACGTGACCCGCCCAGCCTGCCACTCGCTCGCTCTTGGGAGATCGCTTCACACCCGAGCTTGTTTTCATTATAACCCCCCCACCCCTGTAGCCAGTACTTTTCTGTTACATTACTTTATCATTTGCATTTTCCTGTTTTGGTTTTATCATTCTTGCTTTTTAATATTTTCGTAACGTTTAATGTTTCATAACATTTTTCCATAAATGATTGCTTTACCCCTATTGAAGGAGTCATATTTTAGCTATGTTATTTCTGAATACTAGGGGGAAATTTGTATCTCCCAATCAGAAGAGAAAACCAGATTTTACTAGGGTGGCACACAACTGGGACAGGAGAGTTTGACTAGAAAAACTGTGCCAAGGTGTGGGTGTGGCCACAGGGAGCTGCTAGCCTCAGCCCACTGCCAATAGGAGCCTCGGGGCTACGGGTGCCCAGATGTGGAATCCTGTACTCAGAAAGCTGACGCAGGGGGATCACTAGTATGAGCCCAGGCAGGGCTGCTTGTGACTTCACAGGACTGTGTCTCAAAAAGAGAAATACAGAAAAGGTTTTGGGGTGTAGCTCATCAGAATTAAGGCCCTGGCTGTAGTCCTCTATCTAGTACCAGGAAAGAAAGAAGCCGGGCATAAAAGGTTTGGAGTTGGGTAAACAAGTCTGAAATGGAGTATGTAAGGAAAAGAGTAAGAGAAACAAAACTGGCCTGATTCTGAGAATGAAATGTTCCCTGACAAGAACTTGGTGCTGGTATGAACCTCATCACTGTCTAAATGAAAATGTGCTGGGCTCTGTATTCTTTTTCTTTTTCTTTTTCTTTTTTTTTTTTTTGTGGAACCAGGGATTGAAGCGCTTACCAGGCAAGCGTGTATTCTACTGAGCTATCTCCCTGACCCCTCTGTAATTCTTTTTCACCTCGGTGATGCCGTGGTAAAAAGTGGCTCTGGGGCTCGGCAGCTCTATGATAGAGCACTGGCAGTGCCCAGCTCACTCCCCAGCACTTCCCCAAAGACTCAGCTTATGAGGCAGAACATTCTGAATTTTCAATTCTAGGTTTTGCTACTTACAAATCTTGCCAGGTGGGGTCCCAGCACTCAGGTGACAGAGGCAGGAAAATCACTGTGAGTTTGAGGCAAGCCTTGGTTACATAGCAAGACCCTGTCTCAAAAAACAAGAACAGAAGTCTTTACAATGTTTTTCTACTTAGTGGTCACATATGTATTAGTTATGGTCTCGCCAACTGGGGCTTTAAGTTTTAGAGCTGACGTGAGTGTTTAGAGGTACTGAGTCTTTAAAGGCAGACATTCTAAAAGAAACTTGCAGCTTTTTTTAATGACATGTCTTTCTTTGAAGGGTCCCGATTACAGACTCTACAAGAGTGAGCCCGAGCTGACAACCGTGGCAGAAGTTGATGAGTCAAATGGGGAAGAAAAATCAGAACCTGCTTCAGAGATGGAAAGTCCAGTTGTGAAAGGTCAGCACTCGGCGTCTGTTGCTCCTCTCACGCTTGGTTCGGCTTGGTGACATGTTGGCAGTATTCCATATAGATGCTGTCCCGGCACATGTGTGTGTCTGCAATCTCTCTCTGAAGCATTTTGGGCCGAGGAGATAGCTCAGTCGTGTAAACAACTGCCTGGAAAGCCCAAGGTTCCAAGTTTGATCCCCAGTAGCAAATAAAACAGCTAAGGGCATTTCTACTTTAATAATAAATACAAGTTGATGGCAGGGCAAAGCCAACCATGTACTTAAAACTTCTAGTTAGCAACTAGAAGACATCACTTAAGATTTAGATAGCTGTTTGTACTGTAAGGGCCAGGCAGATAGCAGAGATAGCAGAGAGGCATGAGTGCCTGCCCAGCAAGCTCAGGGTTCTGAGTTCAATCCTCGGTACTCCCTCTCCCCCAAAAGAGATGAAGCCTAAGGACTCATGAGAGTATGAATTAAGTCCTCAGCTAGTAGGAAGATAACAGCATGCACATCACTCCCAACAAGGCATCAGGTAGCACTGCCTTTTTTTTTTTTTTTTTTGAAACATGGTTTTGGTATTTACCCCACATTGGCCTCAAACTCACAGGAATCGTTCTGCCTCAGCCTCCCCAGAGCTTTGATTATAGGCGTGCACCATCACACTCAATGGCACTGCTTTTAAACACATTCATACTTCTGGAATATCTATCCCAAGTGGGATAAAGATAGTAGTAGACTGGGTTGGATTTTACTGAGAAATGTTTGATGACAAGTTTTTTGAAAGCTTTAAATTTTCTAAGGTTTTTTTTTTCCTCTATTTCAGTTGTTTTTCTGTTTTTTGTTTAGTTTTGTTTGTTTGTTTGTTTATTGTATTTTTTAGTCCAGGATCTCACTACACAGATGTGACTCATAGTGATCCTCCTGTTTTCAGCCTCCCAAGTGCTGAGATTGCAGGCGTGCACCACCACGCCCAGTCTCAGTCACCTTCTGGGCTTGCCCTGGGGGCAGAGCTGGCACATCATATGGAACCCACCTAATCAGAGGCTTTAATCCACTGAGCTATCTGGCCGGCCCTCATTTTTCTTTTTTTTTTTTTTTTTGAGAAAGGGTCTTGTTCTATAGCTCAGGCTGGCCTGTAACCCACTAATGTGGCCCAGGCTGACCTTAGATTTTCAGTGAGCTTCCTGCCTCAGTCTTCTTAGTGCTAGGATTACATGTATGCACCACCATGCCCAGATATTGCTAAACATTCTTTAAGAAATCAAAGTGTAAAAAAAAAAAAAGAAGTTTCTCTTGTAAATATAGGGCAAAAATAAATGTATCAAGCATTAAAAAAAAAGAAATCAAAATCAAAAAAAAGTAATGAAGGTTCTTCTAGATTCAAGATTTTAAAAAAAGGCAAAAAATAGGCTAGGAGGGCAGCTCAATGGTAGAGAGCTCTTGCCTACCAGATGCAAGGCCATCGGTTCCATCCCTGTTAACTACAAAAACATAAATACAGTGCAGTACTTTTTTTTGGGGGGGGGTGTCTCTTTTTGAGACTCACTTTGTAAACCAGACTGGCCTCAAACTTGCAGTGATCCTCCTGCCTCAGCCTTCTTTGTGCTGGGTTTATAGTTATGTGCCACCATGCACAGCCAGCACTTAAAATTTTAATTGGAGCACTATTTTAAAAAATTAAAAAAGCTGTACGGCTAGGTATGATAGGCATGGTGGTGCCTGCCTACAATCCCAGCTCTCTGGAGGCTGAGGCAGAAGGATTGCTGAGTTTGCTGCCAGCCTAGGCTACAAAGTGAGTTTGAAGCCATTTTGATCTACATACTGAGACCATAGCCTAAACTGCCTAAACCATTATAAAGTTAAACTAAATATATAATACCAGTAGCACATATACTAGGAGGTGGTTGGAATTAACATAAGGTCTTTGCTTGGAGGAAGGTGGTGATGTTGAATAACATTAGACTCCCCACCCACACCGGCCCCTACTGGGGATCGAACCCTGGACCTTGCGCTTGCCAGGCAGGTGCTTATGCCTGTTGAGTTATCTCCCTGGCCCGAGTAACATTAGACTTTCATCAGTTTCCCACATACATGCTAGAGTATAAGATAAAAGAGACTGTTCAGCCTCCAAACTACTAGGGAGACTAACAGGATGAGGGGAGAAATAACTCTAAAGAAAAAAGAGAAATAAGTAGAAGGTGGAGAAAATCCAAGGCAAAAAATTATCACAAAGTACAATAAATTGAACTAAGTGCTTCAGTTTAAAGAAAGATCGCCAGCTGGGTGTAATGGCACACGCCTGTAATCCCTGCACTCTTTAGGCTTGAGGCAGGGTGATCATCAAAGCCAGCCTGGCTACATAGTAAGTTCAAGGACAGCCTGAACTCTGTTTCAAAACACAGAGACCTTGTTTCAAAAAAAAAGAGGATTGTCAGGCCAGGGATGTAGTACAGTGACAGAGGTGGCGCACATGCCCCAGGATGGGCCCCCAGCACCAAAAGAAAAGAAAAAGCTGCCACACCGTGAGCAAGGCAGAAGGATCACAAGTGTGGGCCGGCCTGGACAACCTAGTAGTGCAGCAAGGCCCCGTCTCAAATTTAAACACTGTTTTAAAAGAGGGTGGGGAGATAATTCAGTGTGAAGGCCCTGAGTCTAGTTCCTAGTACTTAAAAAAGAAAAAATAAATAAATAAATAAATAAATAAATAAATAAATAAATAAATAAGATTATTAGCGTGGATTAAAATTAAAAGTACAGCCACGGCTGGTGGCGCATGCCTATAATCCCAGCACTTAGGAAGCTAAGGCAAGAGAATTGTTGGGAGTGCAGGACGAGCCTGGGCTACAAAGTGAGCTCAGAGACAGCCTGAACTGCATAGCGAGACTCTACCTCAAAAAGACAGAAAAACCAACCAACAGACAAAAAATAGTGTCAGAAGAAAGCCCTGTTGCCTACATGTGTTTAGAGCACTTAACTGCTGTCTTGGTTTTAGGCTCCCACTTTCCTGTTGGGGTTGTCCCTCCCAGAACAAAGTCACCAACACCCGAGTCCTCGACAATAGCCTCATACGTGACCCTGAGGAAAACCAAGAAGATGCTGGACCTCAGAGCGGTACGCATGTATATGCGAACTCCTGCACTCCCAGCCTGCTTCTTTGTGCTGTGCTTCCCGTGTTGTGTGGTTGTTCGGCTTGTTTTCGTGGTGCTGGGCATTGAACCCCTTTGCTCTCAGCCACCTTCCCAGCTCTGTTTATCTTGAGATAAGGGTGTGCTCAGTTGTCCAGGTGGGGCACGAACCTGCAAACCTGAGCCTCAGTCTCAGAGTGCTAGGATTACACTCGCTCACTTTGAATGTCTCACAGGAATTCTTTTTATATACTCTAAAAAAACCTACTGAGCTTTTTTTAAAAATTATATTTAGAGAATTAATACCTCAGAAGAAAGGCCTAGCTTGTACCTAGTCTAGATTTTTTTCAGATTAGCTTTCCTTAGGGTCTTGGTCCATCATTTGTTACGGGGGGAATATAAGGTATGAAACTCAGCCTTCATTGCAACCACGTGCCAGATCAGACTCATCATGATCCTCCTGTTTTCAGGCTCCCAAGCGTTGGCATTGCAGGCATGTGCCACCATGCCGTCTCAATCATTTGCTGTCTCAGTGCACCCCAGGGGCAGGGCCCACACAGTACGCTGGGGATCAAACCCCAGTCTCTGCATCTGCCTAAGGAGGCACTTTAATTCGCTGAGCTATCTGGCCAGCCCTTTTTTTTTTTTTTTACAGTACTAGGGATTGAACTGTACCTGGCCTTGACTTACTGCCCAGGAGAGTCTCTAGTACAGTTCGCTTTTAACTCCTTGTAGACAGGATTAGCTAGAAGACCTAATGAGGCCCCTGTGCCGTTTTTTCCATTTGCAGACAGGCGCTTGTGCTACTGAGCTGTCTCCCTGGCCCTGTTTGTTCCATTTACAGTCCCCTGCTCCTTCCCATTTTATTGTTGGTCAGCTCCCACCAACTCAAACCAGAGAACAAAAGAAACCGATAGCCTGGATTTTACAGAATATTTACATGAATGAATATCTACATTAATATTTTTAACTGGGCCAGGGATGTAGCTCTGCAGAACAGTGCCTGCTTGGTAAGCACAAGGTCCTGAGTTCTATCCCTGATAACAAAGAAGAATAAATAAATAGAAATGTGTCATTTACAGCATTATGGTTTCATTAAATTGAAAAATCCATGGGGCTGGTGAGATGGCTCAGTGGTCTAAGGCACCTATTTGGAACAAGCTTAGCAAAACCCAGGGACCATGGTTCAATCCCCCAGCACCACATGCCAGCCAGCCCCGCCCCCTGGTGGGCTGAGCTGGACACACACACATAAATAAATAAATAAAATTTAAAAAAAATAAATTGAAAAATCCAATACATTATGCCCCTCTCCCCTTTTTCTCCTAGCTAGTTTGAGTTTTATGCATTCCCCTGTTTCAGGGACGGAGACATCCGTGGCCCATTTATGATTGGTCTTTTGTTTTTCTGTTAAACCGGGAAAACACCTGTCCCCTGTGTGTCTTTCTCCACCTCTTTCTCTCTGTCCTTGCCCACGCATCCCTCTTTATAATGAAGAAGAAAATGACTGCGTCAGCCTCTCTGATCCAGCCTCGCAGCACTCAGTACCCTACTGAGGATTCTCAGCTGCACCCCTGCCGCCCTCGCGGAGCCTGGGCTCCGCGTGCTCACTGCCCCCATCTCTTCCAGGACCGGCCACGCAGCGCTGTGGAGCAACTGTGCCTAGCGGAGAGTGGCCGGCCGCGAATGACGGTGGAGGAGCAGCTGGAGCGCATCCGGCGCCACCAGCAGGCCTGCCTGCGGGAGCGGAAGCGGGCACTCGCTGTCCCCATCGCCGTTCCCGTCCCTGGGTCCACTGACCTGGGCTCCTCACAGAGCCCTGCAAGCCTGAGAGAAACTCCAGGCAGGGCCCTGCAGGTACGCCCACTGCTTCTGGTTGTCTTACATACTCAGTTCTGGGAGTGATGGGTTCCAGAAGGCCTATAGTGTACTTATTGTAAGGTGTTTAATTCTTACAATAATAATAGGCTAAGGCAGCTTCATAAAATGACGGGGACTCTGGCCTTAAAAGACCAGAGCCAACTGAGCAAAGAGGCACACACCTGTCACCCAGCACTTAAGAGGTCGAGATAGGGGCATCACAGGTTCAGGGCCAACCTCCTGATTGGCTCCTGAACATTAACAGTTATAGACTTAATCTTCCCTACTGAAAGCTAATGGTTCAGTTTCACCGCCTGCTGCAGGGACATAGGATAAAAGCATTTCAACTAGTATAAACTGCCATGCAGGTCACCAGAACAGTCCCCACTTCCCTTCCAATAAAATGCCTACTGCTGTCACTGCCCAGCTTCAGCCTTGTGAAGGGCCCCTCCCCTCTGCCTGTTCCTTGATGTTGCTCTTCCTGTGTGGGGCAGAGGCAGCAGCTAGGGAGCTCTTGCAGCCGCTGCCCTCAGGCTGGCCCCTATCAGGCCCGGTTCCTATGGTCAGAGCCCCTCTCCCTCCCCACCCATCACTTCCTGCCTCCTGGCCCAGGCCCCGGGAGTGCTGTGACAGGGCCAGTGGCATGTTACGTTCCACAGATACATATGTGGGTTCTGTGAGAAAGAGAAAGGAGAAAAATGGGGCTTGTTTTCTGTGATTTTTGTGGAGAAATTCTTTGTATGTAGAGATATAGCTTTGTACAAACCTATAGGCACTGTCTATAAAATACACATGCGTGCTCACTAGGAATCTAAAAACATTGTGTCTTTTGGGCAGACCCAGAGGGACAACATTAAGGAGTTGGACGATGTCAGTAGAGAAAATGACGTAAAACCAAACTATGACACTCCTGACACTCCTGCTGTGGAACCCGTCCGACTAAAAGAAGCTGAGCCCCCAAATACAGATGGTAGCCAAGAGGTAAGAGAAGATTTCAGAACAGATGTCTAGAGATTAAAGATTAAAGTATGTGCCTTTTAAGTTATAGACCAGACAAGATAGCTCAGTGAACTACGTGCCTCAGCCAGCCACCAAGACCAGGCGTGGTGATACACCCCTACAATCCCAGCAGTGGGAGGCTGAAAACAGGAGGGTCACCACGAGTGTGAGCTGCGCAGGGAGACCCTGCACCAAATACGTAGAGGGCTGGGGAGATAGCTCAGTGGAATGAGTGCTTGCTGGACAAGCGCAAGGTCCTGACTTCAATCCCTGGTACGATCAATCAGTCAGTCAATCAATCAATGTTAGAAGCCAAAGATCTAAATGAAAGGGTAGGTTTCCTTTAATCTTATTGATACATTGGCTGCATAAACTATACGTTATTAAAAAATTTGGAGCATAGGCAAAGCTGGAGTAAATTATTAACACAAGAAGAATCCTACATGGGTCATGGTTGGCGTTCGCTTAGAGTCCCAGCTGGTCACGAAGCTGAGGCAGGGGTTGGGGTCACAAGGCCCAGGCCAAGCCCGGAAACATAGCAAGACCCTATCTCAGACTTAACAGGATGAGAGCTAGCCCAGCCCTCCTTTGGCCTGTCCCCAGGGTGGGGTTAGACAAGAAAAGAACACTGTAGCTCAAAGGTTGTCTTAACGAGGCAGATCATCCCTTTGGACAAATAACTTTGTGTCCTTATAGTAAAAAACTGTTAATATTTTAACATACTTGAATCCAGATGTACTATCAGTAAATATTTGAAATAATAATTAAATTTAGGAGGGATCACATTGTAAGAAGTTGCTTGGAATCATTTTAGATTTACAAATGCATGTCATAAAAGTGCTTTGAAAAGGAAATTTGTCTTTTTACTCTATAGTTTAAAAGAACAGAAAGTATTTTTGATGAAGCGATTTCTACACCTGAGCCAAATGGAGTACATTCTGAGGAAGTGACGAATAAAGAAAGTAAAGAAAAGATGACCGAGGAATTAACATACAGGTAACAAGAAAAAGAATTATGTAGCCCGTTGTGACCGCCTCCACATACTTAAGTAAAACAAAGCAAAAAAGGGTTCTTCGGCTGCAGTTTCTGGTGGCTCGGTGCCCGAGTCTCAGCTCGTCCAGGCCTGGGCAGAGTGGGGGCTGGCCCGCGGCCCCTTCTCCAGCAGTGCTGCCAGCTGTGCTGTCACTGAGCCTAGGGCCTCAGAATCCCTGTGCGCCTGGACACTGCTATTAGGGACCAACGCTTGGGCGCAGGGAGATAGTTTAGATCCAAACCACGAGAGAAATTATTCGTAAAACTGAAGAACGGGCTGGGGAGATGGCTCAGTAAGGGCCTGAGTTCCATCCCTGGTTCAACCAAAAAGAAAAAAACTGAAGAACTGCTTAAAAATGATAAACTTCCAGGCTGGGTGAGGGCATTCACATGCAATCCCAGCACTTGGGAGGCTGAGGCAGGAGGATCACCATGAGTTCAAGGCCAGCTTGAACTCCATAGCAAGAGCCTGTCTCAAAAAACCAAACAGGAAAAAAAGATGAACTTCAGAGTCCAAAAGTGTTCATTTCCACTTCCAGCTTAGGAGCTGTAGGATCTTGAGCCAGGTGTATAGCCTTCCTAAACTACAGGTTCCACTTGTAAAAATGAGAATAATCACACTCTTCTTTCATGAGTCTCTTGTAAGGATTAAGTAAGTAAAGATATTTATAACATTTAAAATGTGCTTAGCACTTAGGATAATACCTTATTAGAAGAATGCTAAAAGCCGGACATGGTGGCACATGTCTGTAATCCAGGAGGCTGAAGCAGGAGAATCACAAGTTTGAAGCAAGTTTGGGCTCCATAATTCAAGACTCGCCGAGCCTACACAGCAAGACCCTCCTACATAAATACTGCGTGCGTGCGTGCGCGCCAGAAGGCACATGAGCGGTGGCAGTATAAGGGACTCAGCGCCCGGTGTCGGCCGTGTGGCGCGCAGCTGGAATAGAAACCGATGAGGGGTCTGGGCTGTCCGCCGAGAGCTCCAGACGCTATGGTGATTCGCTTCTATTTTTCACATGTGTGCGTGCTACAGCCTGAACCCAGGGCTTCATGCACATGAGGCACGCACTCCATAACTGAGCTGCACTGCTGGCTGGGGCTGTATTTCGTAGAACATACTCAGTCTCACCGCTAGAAAAAGTTACTAGCACTAGAAAAAGAAATGTGCTGACCAGGCACAGAGATGCATGCCTGCAACCCTAGCTCAAGGGAGGCTGAGGCAAGAGGATTGCCTCAAGTTCACGGCCATCTTGAAATGCACAGACCCTGTCTGAACAAAGCGTGCTGTGATTTAATATTACTAAGAATGTCGGGGGCCGAGGAGATGGCTCAGTAGGATAAGCGCTTGACTGGCAAATGCAAGGATCTGAGTTCAATCCCCGGTTCCACCAAAAAAAAAAAAAAAAAAAAAGAATGTCTTTGTCACTGAATAGCAGGTTTGAATTTGAAAGATATTTGGCTATGTCTGATTTAAAGAATCCAGAGTGAATTTTTGTATCAATATGTGGTAGATACAGATGAAAACATAACCAGCACGCTAAAGACCCACAGGCTTGCTAGGCAGGCTGGGTGGCACATGCCTGTACTCCCAGCACGCTGGAGGCTGAGGCAGAGGATCACAAATTCAAGCCCACATTAAGGGCAGCTCAGCGCAGCGACAGACTTAACAAGAGTGTGTCTCACCGGGGAGATAGCTCAGTAGCATAAGTGCCTGCCTGGCAAGCGCAAGGTCCTGAGTTTGATCTCCAGTACCAAAAAAAAACCAAGAGCCGGGCTGGGGAGATGGCTCAGTAGAATAAGTGCTTGCCTGGCAAGCACAAGGGCCTGAGTTCAATCCCCGGTTCCGCAAAAAAAAAAAAAAAAAACAAGAGCCTGTCTCAATGTTTTAAAAAGCAGGCTGGGGATATAGCTCAAAACACAGACTCTGAGTTCAGTCCCCAATAAAAAAAAATTCAAGTGCTTTTAAAATGAATGTAAAATACTTCAACAACAACAGAAAATAATGTGTTGGCCATGTTAAAGCGAGCTAAAGAGCCAACTTCTCGCTCTTCTCAAGCTGCAACAAAGCGGTTTGAGGAATTTCTTCTTAGAAGACTTCTGTTGAGTGAAGCATGAGAGTGCTGCAAGTCTTTCTTTGCTGACTCTCATGACATAATAGGTTCAGTACTAGGCTTAGAGCCGGACGTGCTGGAGCACACCCGTAATCCCAGCACTGGGCGGGCTGAGGCAGAAGGACCATTGCGAGTTTGAGACCAGCCTGGGCTACAAAGTGAGCTCATGGCCAGCCTGAGCTGCGTAGCGACACCTGTCTCAAAAAGACAAAAAAAATCAGGACTAGGACTGGAGCTTCTACTGAAACGCTTTCCTCACGTGTGTGGGGTACTAGGTTCAGGTCCCAGCCCCACAAAACAAAACAAAAATCGAAAGAAAAAAAAAAAAAAGTAGTGGATTTGCACGGTACTCAGTGGCTGCTGATGCTGTTGGCTGGAAATCTTACAGGGGCCTAGAGGATCAGCAGGTTGCACCACCCGCCCCTGCCGCCACTCATCTCTTTTTCCTGATCCACCTTTGTGGCGCATGGTAGTTGCGCTCCTCCTGGGCATCACTGTCTGGACCGCTTGCCTCCGTGTCACTCGTACTCCCTCTCCTTCCCTGCATCTTTTTCTCCTTCCACAAGTCTTCTTTCCTCTGGTTCCTATCATCTTTAATTTTGTTCCTTAAATTGTTTATATTCCGGTTTCTCATATGAGAGAAACCGATCATTTGTAATGTCACAAAAAGAGACAATCCATTCATGAGACAGTGCCTGAGGCCCAGCTGTGAAGTACCGCTTGGCACGCGCCAAAGCTAAACATGACCAAGACTCATCATCTTGGCCAGGTGTGGTGGCGCACACGTGTCACCCCAGCACTGGAGACTGAGGCAGGAGGATTGCTGCAAGTTCAGGCCAGCCTGGGCTACAAAGTGAGGCCAAGGTCAGCCTGAAATGTATAGTGAAATTGTGTCTCAAAAAGATGAAAAAAAGGAGAAGGGATCCCAAGTAGAGTGTTAACAAATGCAGGCAGGTGGTGCTTATTTTCCATATGGCTAAAAGGTTTGTTAAGTGAACACAAGAATTCACTGTATTCCGTAGTCAGTTTTAAAGTACCAGTGTATTTTCATTAGCCCTGAAGATGAGACGCAAATCCCAAACCGTAAACCAGAAGACCATTGTGAGGAGGACACGAAGGACGGCATTCACGAAGAGGAAAGCCCTGTTACTTCTCAGGAGTCGATGCCTGTGGTTTCTAGAGAAAGCCAAACACCGGCAGGTAGGTGCACTGCATTGAGTCTCTTACTGGGCACTTCCACTGAACTTGTTTTTTGCTCTGAACTTGTTTTTAATTTTTTTCCTCCCCTTGGCTGGCCCAGCCTGCCCTGGGAGCAGGGCTGGCCTGGCACACGGTGCTGGGGATCTAACCACAGCCCCAACACTTGCCTGAGCAGGCGCTTTAGACTACTGGGCTATCTTGCCAGGCCTTTTTTTCTCACTGAACTTCTAAACTTATTCTTCCTGTGGCAATCCTAAAAAGGGAGCCAATGTAATTACCTTTTCTGACTGGGCATGGGGGCGCCCCTGTAATCCCAGCACTGGAAGGCTGAGGCAGGCGTATCCTGAGGCAAGAGGATCTTTGCAAGTTAGGCTAGCCTGAGCTGCATAATGAAACCCTGTCTCAAGACCAAAAAAAAACTACCTAGTCTGCACTTAAATTCACAGGGGCAGCGTTGGGATGGACCTGGGAAGACGCGAGCAGGGCCTGGTTGGAGTCTGTTCTGACAGGCCCGGCCACTGGGGCAAGAGGAGCCCAACCTCAGCCCCAGCCTGGACCACAAGGGGGCTCACTGAGACTCAAAATTGCACAAGCCCTGGGTTCAATCTCCAGTATCACAAAAACATACATTTATAGAATGGCTCTTTCCTCTAGCACATGCTATATAGAGTCCACACCTGGACTGTCTTCTGATAGCAGATCAGTGTCCACACCGTGTTAAAACAAGCTATTCTCTGCTGCTACCCCTGTGGGGGCAGGGTGCTGGGGACTGAACCACGGCCTTGTATGTGCTAGGCATGCACTGCACCCAGGAGCCCCTCTGCCCAGCCCTCAGCTCAGCCCTTCGGCTAGCGTTTGGACTCCTCAATGTTTTCTTTTTCACTGTGCGTTTGAAGAGTGAGAGTGTAGGATAGGATCACACCTCCAGCGCATACGGTGAGCCTTGCTTTTCTTAAGCAAGAATTCATTCTCAGCCATCACTGCCCTACTTCCTCCCTTTTGCAGAAGGTTTGAGCAAGGAAATTCAGTCCTTAGAAGAGTGTGGGGTTAGAGCAGAGCATTGCCATGTTCCAAACACAAATGGAGAGTGTTCATGTCATCTGTCATTCCCTGGGCCAACAGTGCACTGTCCTGTCACATGGCGCCAGTTCCTTGTTTGCAGGGCTGGGCGAGTGTGGCCGTGTCGAGCCTGTGATATCTGCATCTCAGTACTTGGCTGCATGAGCTAGAAAAGGGTTGCCCGCAAGGCACTGAGAACTCTCATAAGCAGGTAGACTCCTCAAAACTAACCTCACAGAAAAACCAGTCATAACCCAGGCTTCCGGAGGAGTTCCATGCAGAGCACCAGCAGGTCAGGACAGAATGCATGCACCGTAGCTCCTCCTGCCCCAGCCACCATGATGCACAGCGGCTCTCCCTCACGTGTCCCTGGAATGTTAACCTTCTCTGTGCTTTCACTGTATTGCAGTGAAAAGTCTGTCCCCGTCTCCAGAGTCCTCGGCGTCGCCAGTGCCGTCCACCCAACCGCAGCTGACAGAAGGCTCGCACTTCATGTGTGTGTAACTTGGAAGTATGTTTTTTCTACTTTGCTCTCACTGTTGCATTTGCTATTTTGGTAGCACCCGTGCATTGGCACCAGGTCCCTGGGGACCATACCCCAGGGATGGCTGGCAGAACCAGGGGCCACAAGAGTGAACGCGGCAGTGGCTCAGATTGCACCTGGCCTCATGGGGCCCATCGTGACCTGCTGCATGACAGCCTTTCTCTGTCTTATTTCATCAGCAGCAAAAGCTCCTGAGAATGCAGGGATGCCCGCCCCATGCCTTCTAGAGCCGGAGCCCAGGGCCCCGTGGGCTCCCAGGCTGGCCGCGCGGTCACCGAGGTTTCAGGCGGTAGGCCACATAAACTCAAGGGCATATATTAGTGATTTTAAGGGACAAAGACATTTATGACACAACTAACTGGGTAAAGTGTTAAAATCTCTAAACACAGGTGGCTGACAGGGAAGAGGGGGAGCCCTTCTTGAACAGTGTTCTTTAGTGTACAGTTCTAAACATGAGAATAGTAATCTCAGTTCATTTTTACACTTCACAGGTGTCCTAGGGTGTCGCTCAGTGGTGTCTGCTGTCTGCCAGGCCCTGGGTTCAATCTCCAGTTCTGCAAATATATATATATTCCTTATTTTCACCTATACTTCCCATCACTTTTGTTTCCTTTATGGAAAAACTGTAAGACACAACATGTAATTTCTGTGCCTTCCCCGTGTTTTGCTCCCAGTGTCTGAGGGTTCGCACTTTGAAGGCCTTGGCCTTAGCGCCAACGGCTGAAGCAAGTGCAAGCAGCAGACACCCAGCACCACTACAGCATCGCCTTTGAATTTCAGACCCTCAAATGAGTGCACATACTAACCTGACCGTTTATGCAGAGGTGTTTCTTTCCTGGGACCTACTTCCATTTCCACCTCTTTGTAGCCATTCTATTTTTTATCCTTCACACCACTCTGCTGTCACTGTCTGTAGCTCTTATTTGGCACCAGGGCTGCCCAGGACCCGTGAAAGCTTGTATTCGTCCGCGCCCCTGTGGGTGCAGGCCTCACAGCCTGATGCCTGGCCTCTCTGTGTATCTCCCCCTCTTGGTAAACAGCCCCAGGTCACAGAAATGTGAGCCCTCGGGTTTCTCCCCCAGAGTCGGTAGCTGGCCTCTGCCTGAAAAAGTAGCTGTGCACTTGGAGCCATGCCCCAATTTTGTGGTTCTGTAAATAAACTGCAGTTTGTTGCACACAGACCTTTCTGATAGTAAAGGCTCTTAAGGGTTAAAACTGCAGTACAGAGCCAGCCAGCCCAGCAAATTAAAGCGCCTTCTTAGGTAGACACAGGGTGGGGGCTTTGATCCCCAGTGTGCCGCGCTGGCCCCACATCCAGGGTGCGATGAGACAGCTGAGACTGGGCCTGGTGGTGCACACCTGTAATCCCAGCACTTGGGAGGCTGAAAACAGGAGGATCTAGAATATGAGTCTGATCTATGTAGTGAGACCCTGTAGACCCTGTACTAAATACATTAAAAAAGAATAATAATAAAAAACTCCAGCACATTCCCAGATTCCTTAAGGGTTTGCTTTCGTGTACATTTTGCTTTTATTTCAAGAACCAGTGGTATTACATATGCTACTGAGGCACAGTTATTGCCAGATATTTTCTAGTCTCACATCATGTAGCCACCACAAACAAGAAAACTCATTACTTTCTAACTTCCTGTTGTGCCTCTTTTTATTCTTCGCAGTGCTGGGGATGGAAGCCAGGGCCCCACACAGGCCGGGCAAGGCTGTGCCCGGGCCACACCCCAGCTGCGTACCTTACAGTCACCTGCCTGAACTAGCAGTTCTGGCAGGACCTAGGCCAGCTTTATGAATGGCCTGCATTCTAGGCAGCTTTCATGCCGTGATGCATACCTCTGCCTATTGCCTTGATCTTTGGATTCAGCAACAGATTTGGGTGCATGTTTTTGTTCTGAATTGCCCTTTAATTGTATTTTGTGTCTTTGTAAATTCCACTCAAGGAAATGAAAAAAAACTGTCCTTCAGTTGTATTGTTTTAGGATTCTTGTGGCCACACTTGTCTGTTGCTGGGCCTGTCAGTTTCTCTGGTATGCGGGCATTTCTTGGCTTTGCAAGTGTCCCAGTAATTTCCTCTGTCTTATTTTGCAGCTCCACTGACTTCTGTTGAAACCGTTCGTGGCCCTTCAGCAGTGTAAGAAGATACTGTACAGTATACCTTAAATCTATGAAATTCATAGTTCTGATGCTTTTGACCCCAGAGCATCATTTTATCACTTCTGGAAAACGTTCGTTCCAGAGCAGCTTTAAGGCCCACGCGCACTCCGCACCACATGTCCACGCAGCTTGCCACCCCCGAGCCCACAGGTGACAGTACTGCTCCGCCCGCAGCCTTCACCAGGGCTTCCTCAGTTGCCGTCGACAGATCTGATGTTTCTTAAGTCTAGGCGAATTTATATTGCTTTTTGCTTTTTGGTACACAGAGTTAGTTACTATTTCCAATGAAGTTTGTTTTTTGGTTTTTTTTTTTTTTTTTTCCTCCTTACCATTCTGGCTACTGCAGTGCTTTATTTCACTCTTGATTTGTAAAAATTTTATATATATATATTTAAAATGTGCCATTTTCTTACTGCTAAGTGAAGTATGTCCTGTTTTCTGCTATAATTCTTTCTCAGATTGCAATGTCAGCAGTTACTGCCGCTCGCCAGCTTAAACACAAATGTTACCGCTTACTTTTCTTAAAAAAACAATTAAAAGTGTAGGTATCTTGGAGTACTGGATTATACTTCATTGGAATAGATGTGTACAGCAATAAGCAGGTCTTCAAATCCAGTACCTAGTTTGTGTACAAATGTAATTATGTTCATTGTGTATATATTATACAATGAGCACATGTAATGTATTAAAGGCTACTTACTATTGTTTAAATGCAAATGTTCATATCTCATTTCTTTTTTATCATGTTAAATAAATGTTGATGTTCTTAGATCACTTGTGTTAGAGTTCTTCCCATCTAAAACACAGGCTTGCGCGCCTGCAGTGTCATGCAGTGGCCGTGCTTGCCCGGCATGCACAGGTCCATGTTCAGTGCCCAGCACCAGAAAGAGAAAGAAAAAGAAAGGGACTCCTGAGACTTCTGAAAGAAAAAGTGGTCTGTTAATCCTGGAATCCTGGAGCTCACCATAAAAGGATTTGTCTGTCCGACCCTCCTGTATCACAGTGGGGCGCAGGCCCGGGATTAAGCTGGCTTGCCAACCCTAATCCCATTACCTGTGACTGCGGTGCAGGCCCTGGGCCCTGGGCCTTCTGTTTTAGCAGCTCATCCCAACGGGAAAATTCAGTTTTGTGAAGTCTTCCCGTGCCCCACTGTGGCAAGGGATTGGCTGCAGAGGGTACGTAGGGTGGGCAGGGCTGTGTCCCGGCAAGGAACAGGAGCCACTGGCCGTGGGGCTCCCACGGCATATTCTTTACAGATATTCACGCTCTTCAGAGTCAATTACATCTTCTTCCTCTGCACCCTTTTGTCCAAGCTGTATATTGTTCCCAGAGTACAAGGCGAGCTGCCGCTTTCAGATTCCTGCACAGTGGCTCACACCAAGCTGGCGCTGGTCAGGGTCCCTTTCTCCTCTGTGTCCTCCTAAAGAGGATTTAGCGGCATTCCACATGCAGATGGATATGAATTCACATGCAGCTAGTTGCAGGCAGAGCGTGCAAACAGGTTGGAAAGGGAACACCGCCAGCCGTCGGTGCTGTGCAGCGAGGTCACACCCAGCTGCCAAACGTTTTATTTTTTTTTTTAATTATTTATTTATTTATTTAGAGATAGAGTCTTGCTATGTAGTTCAGGCTGATCTTTAACTCACTGTGTACCCCACATTGATTGTGGCAATCATCCTGCCTCAGCCTCCGGGGCACTGGAATCATAGGTGTACGACACTACGGCTGGCTCCCCCTCTTCTTGTAAAGAAGACTTGGGACTCCACCCTAATAACCTTATCTAAGCCTAAAAGCCTCTCAAAGCCCCAAGCTTTACACATCGTAGCTGGATTCAGCTCCCACCCTCTTACTATCTCACAGTGACACTGAATTCCTACCCGTATTTAACCCATAGTAGTCACCAACCCCAAGCGGGGTCCTCAGGAAGATACTCGTACCGCAGTTGTGAGACAGAGGGAACAAAC